GAAGCACATTTACACGCGCCAACGAAATTTCGGTACAATCTTCCAATCCTTTTCCGAATGCACCCACGTTTTATTTTATTTCTTTTAAATTGCAAATAACCATGTCGGTGTGATATTACAAATGAAAACTAATTGTTTCAATCAATTTAACATCTCTCGAAACAAATGATACCAGATGTGTAACATGCAGCAGGAGAAACTTGCTTTCGATTTTATCGTGGAAACCATTTTCGGAACTCAGGTTCCAAGTTACTGATTCTACATATTTATGGATCTCGAATTTCTAGATTTCTAAATTTAGGTTTCTAAATACCTAAATTTCTAAATTCCTAAATTCTAGTGTGTAAGTCCCAAATGTCCAAATATCTAATTTCTGATCTCTAAATTCATAGATTTCCAATTTTCCAAATTTTCAAATTCCCAAACATCCAATTCCCTAAATTTCCAAATACCCAAACACGCAACTGCCTTAATTCTCAAATTTGCAAACTTCCAAGCTTCCAAATTCCCAAATTTCCAAATCTGAAGTCCCCAAATCCCAAGCTTCTGAAATTCCCAAACATTCAAATCAGCCGAGTCCCAAATTTTCCATCGTTCGGTTGGTGACAAAAAAGGGGACCTGTTTGGCGCGATGCAAAACGCTACCAAGACGACCGTTCCCGTAAAGACAAGGTGCGACAATCGGGCGAAGATCGAAGCACAAACACGCGTGTACCGGTCGAACAAATTCTTCACGTCCTTTTTCTTGACGGTGCATTATTAACGACCACGATAAATATGCGCGTTCTTTTCGCGAGTGCGACGAATCGACGATCGCATCCACCCGGGTCCTGGCAAGAAAAAAATTCCCCCCTGTTGGAACCCGTTCCTGCAGCACGTGTGCCCCTATCGGTTGTCCCGTGAAAATCGGTCGTCGGCCCCTTGGTTCACCTTCTCCTCTACGAGAACGGCCTCGCCATTAACTCTACCACCACCATCGCTGCCACCTGCAGCGACGAATCAGCATATTTAGCGTCGAGCCGAATTTAATAGAGGCCATCGTTCGGACGTGCATCACGGTTGCATTCGCGAGACGCATCAATAATATTCACCGTGATGCATAACATTAAGTATGCATGCTAACCTCTCGCGAACCCTCTTGGAATTCAATTCGTGATTCTGTTCGTTTGTTCGTTTACGCTCGGATATACGTATACGGTTTTATATGTATACGCATTTGCATCGTGACGTGCATAACCGGCCACGTGGTACGGTTATCATTACTCGTGACCTTACCCGATATTTTCTTTCGTGATTCGCTCTTTTCGTACAATTTTACGAGAAGTGAATGACTGGCTCAGCTGTATGTCCAAATTAACAATTTAAAAGAGGCTTCTGTACTGTTACCCACGTAATATGTAAGATGTTTCAAAAGGAACTTGGAGTAATTTTCATTTGATATTATTTTTGGGGATTTGACAATGAAGGAATCTCATGAATGGAAAGTTTGGTCTAAAGCTTGTATAATTAAAAATTTTAGGACATGGAAACTTTGGAATTGAAAAATTGTCATGTGTTATTGAAAAGAACACGTGTAGTCAAGTGTATTTACGTACAAGACACGTGACTCTAATCTACAACCTCCAGCACCATAATCAACTTGATGTTCTTATTTAACTAAATATTATGTATTATTCTATACAGATTAAACCGATATTATTATGTATTTAATTTCAGTCAACTTCATTTTTATTAATTTCATTTGAGTAGTATGATTAGCATGATTTCTAACATACGATGATGGTAGAATAACGAGGGAAAACAGAAACGGAAGCTCGCGAATACTACCGCAGGTGCACGACGAAATTTTTGTGCGTAAATTGAGCAGACCGAGCGACAACGAGCAATTAAATAAATACTCGTAAGATAAACTTGCTTACTTCCTACTAAAGAATGTTTATTCGAAGGGGGTCGAGGTGTAACCCGTCGAAATTCACGGTACGACTGGTATACCGGTTTGTCGAGTTTCCCGATGACGTTAATTTCTGCGGTTTTAATCTGCGCCCCCTATTTCCGAAATGAACCATCGAGATATCTAAACGTCTGCACTCCGGATAAAGGATAACAGCCTCACTGAAAATTCACTTTATCGTAATATATTGGCGTTCCTCGCGATTGCGATTCGTCTACCGAAGCAAAGCTCTTGCGTTAATTTATATTTCCCATGTAAATTCAGGTATTCGCAATGATTTTCGATAAGCAATTTGTTCGGGTAATTTGTTACAAAATAAAAATGCAACTACTTGATAGGTTTTAAACTTTCACCTAATTATGCAAAAAAATATCTTCGGAACTATTAAACATATGAGTATCCACTTTTAGTTAACTTGCCCTATGATTTTTTTGAGGTCAGAATCATAGCTGCAATATTAAAAAGGACAAAGAAAGTTGAAGCGTCATTTTGTACTCGGAAATCTTGACTATGCAAATTGTAACTGGATTTGAACACCAGATTGAACTGTATTAAAAGTTCGTGTAAGTTGTGTCTAAAAAAAGTGCGTTATGGATCAGGCTTAAAATAGTGCAAAGGGTTAACATTTCGTGTACGTAAAGAATATCAACGTTTTGTGTATGTAACGCAAAATTTCCTGGTACGAGGAAATCATAAGAAACTTTCCTGAAAAAATGTTACAAATTAAAAGTCTACGAGGAAAAAACGTATGAAGAGGGTGAACAGGAAGCAAAGAAAGTTTGCAACAGAGCAACGATGTTAGAGAGTTGAAAAATAAATTTTCAACCGTAATGACAAAGAAGTGGTTGTAACGAAACATGGTGCACGGATCAGTCGTGCACCCTTTCGCCATCGATTATCCTTTTTTCACGACATATACGTTCAACTGGTTTACGAAGGCAAGCCTGGGACTTTTTCCTCCTGTTTTGTCCGTTCGACGCACCACGGACGATCGCGAAGAAGCGAACAGAGCAAGAAAAAGTAGAAGAGAAGCTAAGAGTAGGAGGAAGAGAATGAAGAAGAGGAAGAAGAGGAGGGTTAACGCACTCGCCACACCCTGCTTTAAAGATTGTAAACGATTATTAATGCTCCATCGTGGCTGACCCGTAACCCGGCGGTGGATCCCTCTTCGTGTCCTTCTCTTTTCTTTATCGAACAAGGTCCTTGCACGTCTCTTTCTCCACCCTCGAAATACCCGAGCAAAAGTAACAAGACGTAGTGGCATAACCGGGAGAAATCGAACCGACGGGCCCTTATCCGACGCTTTTCTTAATTAGCGGGCCACATTACCGTGTATAAGTCGAAAGTTATGTTCCGTTATGGTAACCAATTTGCGTATTGTATACTGTCCGCATTAACGGCCGCGGTTAAAAGCCGGCATGAATTTAGGAACGAATAAAGAAACCAGGCAAACGTGAAAATCGCAAGCAAAATTAAATTGATAACTCTTGTTATAACCGACGATTAAATTTACTTGGTAAAAGCACTGGGAAAAATAGGCGGAGAAACTCAAATCTTTAGGTCGATATTAATAATTTTTTCAGTGCCAAACGTAGTTAATTTTACCATTCTTAATTCTTTAAATAGTTCATTAGAACTGAACTATTTGAAGAATCATGTTTCAAGAGACAGAATTAAATACTAACGCTAAGGTAATAAATTAGATAATTTCTCTAAATAAATTGGTGGAATTTCCATTTAAATAACGATCTAATTCACTAATTGAATTAGTGGCTATTCACTGGTTGAATGTACTTATAAGAGAATGTCCAAGATGGCACTTTTTATTAACACCTTCTGGATTAAAGATAGTGTACATATTTGAACACTCCTAGATATTTAAATATTCAATAGATGCTTAAGCGGTCAGAAATATTTAAAAATTTAAAAATACAGAGAATTGAAAAATTAAAGAGCATAAGAGAATGTATAAATTGTGAAAAATGCAAACTAATTAGCTTTGTAACATTTATATACTCGATAAGATAAGAAACAATTACAAGTATTTCCAAAAAATTACATCAACGGACATTATTAAAAACAGGTCCCCATAATCCGGAGAATTATTAAAACGGCATTTCGGCGAAAGGAAATACAGAAACAAAATATGTTGATTTTGAAAATGTTACGACTACAAGGTAGAAACTTAAGAAAGCGTGAATATTTATACGATGCCGACACTTTAAATTTCGTTAAACCCGGTTTATCGAAATGGTTATGGTAATGTCCATTGAGTATCATTTCGCAGTTGCGATAAAGAGAAAGATGATAATAAATTGCAAAGAGATGGAAGTTTATAATACGTTCGGTAGTCCTTGTTCATCGATATTTACGTGACAGTTTCGGTTCTTCGAATCCGCCATTATCGAATGTTCCGTTTAAGCCCGCGCGCTTGATAATCCAATGATCCGCGATATGAAACGATACGACGCATATAAAGATAATGTTTCGGCGCATCGAAGAAGCGTCGATGTCGCATTATGCAAATTGCATGTGACACGTGCTATATATTTAGTGAAACTTGCGGCAACCCGGTGATGAAAGAAACTTTGCATAAAACCACATTGGTCGCGACGGGTCCGCTCGTCAATTCGTAATTGACCGGCCGACAAGGAGAAAGAAGATAAAAACGAGGAGAAATCAGGTGTAAAAATATCACGGTACGTTTGTGCGAGATTTTTCGCAAGAGATTTTCTCGCCGTAATGAAATTTTGCGTCGAACGTTGCCAAAGAGAGAAAAGAACGATGGAAAACGGAGGAAAAAGAACATGGAGGACGCGGAGATAACCGTATTAGAATTGGTAGAAATAGATGCAATGACTCACCATGAAAACCATGAACCTTGATTGCAGGTTGGCGCTCTCGATATAAGTCGATATAAGTTTTATACGAAATTTTGCATCGAACGTTACCGAAGAGAGAAAAGAACGATGGAAAACGGAGGAAAAAGAACGGGGAGGACGCGGAGATAACCGTATTAGAATTGGTAGAAATAGATGCAATGACTCACCATGAAAACCATGAACCTTGATTGCAGGTTGGCGCTCTCGATATAAGTCAGCGTTTCCAGCCGCCGTGCTCGCCGTGTGTTCACTTCCTTTCTCCGTTTCGATCGTTTTCCTGGGATATTAATTCACTTCACAGCCGAGAAATCGATCGGTCAGTCCACTTCGATGATCACAACTCGATTGCACCGTCCAATTTATGAATATACCCTCGAAGAACACGCGGTCACCAAATGAATCATCCGAAAGCAGAAAATCGTTGATCGTTCGACGAAAAGTACGATGCAAAAAATAATTGCTCGCGATACTTATTGCTTCTCGATTGTACACGCGCGTGTTACGTTTGCACGCGGACACGCGAGTATTGGATCTATCACACCTACGTTGTCTAGCATGGATTTATTATCCGTATGCGCACGCATGCGTTTACGCGTTGTCTATTAATTAAACTATCTAAGTTACTTATTAATTGGCTATCGGTGGCGACAGATACAGATACTGGCTCTCTACTGGCATCTGATTGGCATACTGGCATGAATACTGGCCCGTTCGGCGTACGTCACCTGCAACATACAAACGTACGTATCTGCATTAGAAATTAGTCTGCACGATTGCAGGAAACTTAACCAGTAACGGCGAGGTTTTATCATAATTCTACTCGTACCTCGACCCTGCTAAATTAAAATCCTGGAACGGAGTAAAAGCAAGTAATCGTTCCACATTCTAAATGGTCTTGTACGATGTACATGCGTTGCATGTTCACCCGGCGCAGAGACAACATTTCTTTCCGTTCGATTCGAATCCGCTTTCGATCCCCGATATTTTATACAAAGATTCCTATAACGTATCTACATAGGAATTCAATCTTTCTTCCCATTATAAAAGCTAACCTTATCCGTAATATCAAAATATCTTCAACCCTATGATTTCTTCCAGTCAGATAACTAATTACAGCTACAATGTTGAGACAAATAACGAAGATAAAATGTTACGTGTATTTTCCTTGATTATGCAAATTACTGGTATTAAACTCCAGACTCGATCGAACTGCAACTATAATTTTGCTGTATCTGAACTATAATGTGCGTCACGAATGATATAAGTCAGAGGGCTAAAATGAATAAATTCATAAAATCTCGTTTGAAATTAGGTCAAAGATTAAGGTTAAGTTAGGCTATTTAATGTACCTAAATAGAATCTGACTAAAGTGAAATAACAATCACAGGACTTCGCCTAATTATGTAACCAAACTGGTCCCAAAATGTTTGAAGTGACCGCAAATGATATCTACACTATATCGATTCAGAATTTCATGCTACAAAAAACGGAACTGAACAAAAAGTACGCAATGGTTCCAACAGGAAAATGTTGATCGTGTCACCAAAAAAAATGTAACAGATTGAACATAATAACGAGCAAATGGCATCACTCTGTCCGGGCGCGGTCAACAGTGCCGGGCCCGGCCCGTGACGCACCCGGTCTTTATTTAAATCGTTCGATCCGTCACGCCATAATCGATTAACGCTAATAGCAAGGGAAATGGAGTCGAGAGTGGCACCGAGATGCACGATTTCTCACTACCGCGTCCTTCGTGAACACCTCCTGTTTCTTAATCGAGCAACTTGTAATCTAATCAACGGCTAAACATTTCGTTCGTTAATCGAGTTCCCGAGCACGTGTTAGTTTAGATCGTTATCGAGGATATTACGAGAGAATTTCAATTTCATCCAACCTTCGTGCTTCTCCTTTTACTACTTGATTGTCGTTACTGCACCTAGCAATTTAAACGGATACCTCGCTAACGCACGAACAGGTCGGACAACAAATTGCATTTGCATAAAACAACGAATAATTTTTGCTGATTGTTTAATCCTTGTGCACACAATCTGATATCTATGTAATTACTCGTATTTTCCGATAAAAACCTGGCACGATTTTTTTTTTTTTGCAAATTTTACTAAATGGTCTAAGAACTTGCAACAAATTGCATTTGCATAAGAGAACAGTTTCTGGTGATTGTTTAATTCTTATGTACACAATTTAATATCTAATCATTTATGTTTTCCAATAAAACTGACACTATTTTTGTTACAATTTTAATAAATTTTCGTAAGGTCATGCAACAAGAGCAAATAATTTCTGCTGACTTAATTCTTATGTGAACGAATATATTTTATAAATTTATACAAATATATTTTTGGGTAAAAGCTTTGCGTTTCTATTGAAATTTTGATGAATTTTGTGAGGTCGTAGTTGTCACCTGTTTCGAACAAGTTGATTTATATTTGCCACACGGAAATTGATTGCAAAATTTTTCAATATATCTGGACCCCAGAGCGGGAGCGTATTAAGTCTACTTAAGGTGGAAACGACCCACGTTAACGGTGAATTCCAGATCCGGTACGCGTAATGTAGTACAAACATTTCGTACACAATGTGTGTAAAAAACCGCATTGGTATTCGCACTTTCGTTAGTGCACTTTCACAGCGACTTCGTAACGGTAGCCCTTGCACTCCTGCAACTGCATACCGGCTAATGCAACTCACTACTAGTCGTATGCAAAACAGTGTAGAATCTTTGTACTATCTCGTTGTTTACTATTCGTTTACGATATACAGAAAGACAGTCAATAACAACTACTATTCAAACGCGTTATCTATTAATATTGGTACGAATGGAATATTTTCTGGCATGAGTTAGGTTATGTAGTTTCATGTAGAGTGTCAATAATTTGTGGTAGATTTGATTAAATGGCTTTTGGGAATTTAGGAATTTGGGAGTTAGAGGATTTGGCAATTTGAGAAGTTAGGGATTTGGACATGTAGACATTTGGGGATTTGGAGACTCGAAGATGTGAGATTTGGGAGTTTGAAGAGTTGGGGAATTGGAGACTGTGAAGTGTGAGATTTGGGTGTTTGAAAAGTTAGGGGATTGGAGACTCGGAGGTGTGAGATTTAGGGTTTGAAGAGTTGGGGAATTGGAGACTGGGAAGTGTGAAATTTGGGGATTTGAAGAGTTGGGGTGTTGGAGACTCGGGGGTATAGAAAATTGGGGACATGTAGAGTTAGGGATTTGAAGATTCAAAAGTATACAGATTTGGGGATGTGAAGAGTTGGGGATTTGAAGACTCGAAGGTGTAGAGATTTGAGGATGTGAAGAGTTCGGATTTGAAAATTTGAAGGACTAAGAGTTTCACTATTTAGAAATTTGCAGGTCTAAAAGTTTGATTATTTAGAAATTTGAAGGTCTACAAATTTGTGAATACCAGAATTATGTAATTTGGGACTTTGCATATTTAGCACATTTGAAACTCCAGAAACCAAGGATTTGAAACCTTATGAATTTGCAAAAATTAAAAATTTGGAAATATAGTAACTCGAAAATCCGTGAACCCCCAGTGTTCCAAATTTCTCTCCCTATCAAAATTATTCCATAAAAAATATTAACAATTACTTAGCACACAAATGTATTACACATAACAATTTGAAGACCCCAACAGCAAACTAAGAAGCGACAAAGTAATATTGTTTAGGTATCAGAGGTAGTATTACCAGAACGCAATTTAGAAAGAATGTAAAATTAACGAGTAGTTGTGTGGAATACCAAGAAGACACTTCCTGCTGCGCGAACTTCTGTTCAAATGTTACTTCACACGTGTTATAAAAGTTGTAATGAACCGTCATAAAAAGCTATAGCATGACTGGTCCGTAGGAAAATTCTATGTATAACTGGGTTTGACCTCAAGCTACGTGTTCGTCCAGCGTCAACGAACTGCAAGCGTAGTACAAATTATGAGAATCATAGTTATGCAACGACGTATGCTTCAATAAGTGGTTTGCACTATCCATTACAAATTATGTTTTTCCATTAAACGTTTCTTGAATATTATTACGTATACGATTCGAAAATATAGAATCATTTTATTTCAAATTACGTTTTATGAGATAATTATGAGAGTCATGCAAGATAATCTCGATAGGTATTGCTATTTGCAATTTCAATGATTATTCACCAATTCTTTGTTAGTTTAATCGAATACATAATTGATACGAATAATTAATGTTATAGGTGGCAATACAATTGACACCTTGCCATACAATTTATTTGTCAGATGCGTCAAACTAACTATTCACAGGTATAATGTTTAAACAAACAACACAAATTAAAGTGTTGTGAATATTTTATATTCAGCAATCTTTGATAATGCAAATTGCTATTGCACCAAATTTTAAGTTGAGTATTACAAATTTTAATAAGGTTTGTTACATTTGAGCTGTGAGTGCGAGTGAAACTCATCAAAGTATGACAAGAGGTTAAAGATAATAAATGAGAAAAGTGAAAACCTATTTAAATTTTTTTAATTTTAAGTCACGTTGATATTGTAGTGTTAGGAGATGCCTACTAGAAATGTTATAATCAAGAATTGCAAAATGCAAGGAATTCAATAGCTGATTAATAAAACAGTGTGATCACATTTATTGTTTCGACTACTTTCCCTTGTATATGAAATATTAAAAATAATTTAGTTATTCGACTAAAATGGAACAATCGGCATATTCTCAGTACAAAACAATGTTGTCAATATTTCAGAATAGTTAATATGTATTGAATTTACGAGAAAAATACAGCTCATGAATAAATACTACATATCAATAAATGTATTATATCAACAAGTACCTGTATTATACTCATCTAGGAACCGTGCAATAATATTTGCACGTGCACGTACAATAATATTGAGAACCTTGAAATATCAACAATACGTATTGATTATTTGAGAATCGACTTAATATTGATTTCACAAAAGACGTTCTTTCTTATTCTAATCAATTCTAACCAATCTCGTTATATCGTGTATATAACGGGATGGCGTCGAGATCATAGAAAGAAGATTATCGACGCATCTATCGATCGAACGATCGATCGCTGTCAGATCGTTTGATCGCGAGACAAACATCCTGACGATGTTACTGATAAAGCTCGTCAGGATCGTTCATGACAATCAGTTTACCGATCTCGGTCTTCAATCATCGCAAATTCGAATTGTCGTTTAAAATAGTGATGAACAGATTATGTATCTGATGATGAATACAAAACGATATTAAATCGGAAGATTTGAAGTTTAAATATTTACGAATATATTTTTCAATTTTATCAATTTGCAAGGGTGCATGTTTGGAAAGCTAGAAATTTACAGAAACTGGGATTGGAAAAATTAAAAATTCGAAATTTTTGAATTTGGTGAGTTGGAAATTTAGGGAATTAGAAATTTGATGAGTTGGAAATTTAGAGAATTAGAAATTTGGTAAGTTGGAAATTCAGAGAATTAGAAATTTGCTAAGTTAGAAATTTAGAGAATTAGAAATTTGGCGAGTTGGAAATTTGGAGAATTAGGAATTTGCTAAATCAGAAATTTGATGAATTGAAAATTTAGGGAATTAGAAATTTGATGAATTGGAAATTTAGGGAACTAGAAATTTGCTACGTTAGAAATTTTGAGAATTAGAAATTTGATGAGTTGAAAATTTGGAGAATTAGATATTTGGTGAATTGGAAATTTAG